TCACTATATTGAGTGTCGTTAAAGTCAATGTAATTGTCAATTAATGTATAATTGACTCCATTATTAAAGGTATCATCTACCATGGATTGTAAAGAATTTAACATGTTACTTTCTGCTTGATTCTGAAGGTCTCCTAAATTCCTAATGGGAGCTTCCGAATTCCCTTTGGATCCGAGATTAGTTGCCCCTATACTGATAACACCTGAAATAATTCTTTGCATAAAAATACCAAAATATTCTCCAGCGATAGTGCCGAGAGGTACGATAAATGGTGAGTAGTTAATGGCACCAATAACAGTTGAAAAGACCAATAACAAATTAACGAGCACGATATTGGGTCCAGTTTTGGCATGTGGAGTTAAATCATCGACCATATTAGGTAATATACGATTCAACTCTTCGAAGGAATATTTAATTCCATCGTAGAAAATGGATAAATACGTCAAATAATTCTTAGACGCGAAAACCAGTCTTGCTATACTAGGATTTGAATTATTAACCGGATAGTCGAGATATCGTTTTGCTTCGATGTTCAAAAAGTTTCCGAAAGGGCCAGGATAAAAGGCCGGTGCAGTTTGCTCCATCAGATGACTGATGCATGATGCAATGCCAGGATCCGGTTTAGGATTCATTGGGGCACCGGTCTCTATATTTATTCCTTTCAAGCAATATTCGTAAGTTACTGAGGGATGGGCGGGGTGCTTGCTGTTGGGGCTGATTCCGGTGTATTCAACATGCATGTCCACGTTAAGACTAAAAGTATAATTAGAAAATAGGCAGTAATAATTATCTGGATCATTGTATATTTTAGTTTGATCAAAATCTATTTTGACGGAGATAAAGCAAAGTGTGTTACATCCTTGTAATGTAACGGTGACGTTATTTTTATAGTCATTATTGTTGAGATACACAACGTTATTACTGCCATAAGTGCCTCCATTAACAGAATCGTGATTAATGATAGCAAAAACGTCTTTTTTACAAATTCTATACTTTAACATTACAGTGGTCCAGGAATTAACCACAGGACTAAGGAAAAATAATAGGAACAAAACAAAAAATATGGTTCTAATTTTCATAATAGTATTTAATGTGAGGGTTTTAAGGCACAAAATGTTCATATTTCAATTTCTTTTGCTTGTTCCTATAAGACATTCTTGTCAAATCTGTTCTTTTTTTATAGCCAAATATCAACGAATCAATAATTAATTTTAATATGAAGACTTCGAAGGACTAAGTTTTGATATTTCTTAATACATAATATTTTTATTGGTAAACGTTTTTGCGAATCAGCTAGCTTCGTACAATTCATTTTCATATTTAACATTATGAGACTATTTTGTGAATTACTTCCGATTTGTCTCTATATTATCTTTATTAAACTCGGTAAATGGGATTTTGCCTTAAAAAGATAAGTTTATATTTCGATTTCTTTGGCATGCTGTCAAATTCAAAAAAGATTTTATATAGTCTAGTTTAAATGGCGATTTCTATGTACTGTTAAATGTTAAACTTGTTAGGAAAATTCATGCATTTAATTAAATTCCAAAATATGGTGTAACATGAAAGTCCAAAAAAATTTTTTTTCAAAAAAAAACTAACGCCTGAAATTTCATCCAATTGAATTTCGAGATAAGATGCAGCATGTAAATCAAAAAACAAAATCTACCATAGTGAAACGAAATGTATGATTTACAGGTAACGAAATATGCATATTCATGTTTTTACCTTGTACTAATATGAAGATTCTATTACATAGAATAAAGATCAACATAGCTTTTTTCAGTAATTAACAAGCATCAGAGCATGGACCGGTTATAAGGTATGGAATAAACGCTACAAACATTTTATGAGAATATTGCAGGGACCGTTATCTTATAAGAGATCATCGGGGCTATATACGTATGAAATTGTACACCGATTGATGAGTTTTTGACTCGATAACTTATCGATTCGGTTACTGGAAAATATGAAAGAGTTGAAACACCAATCTTTGCTGACGGAAATCGAATTAAATTTTTGCAAAATTTGGATAAATTTTGACACGGGATACATTTTCGAGAAAATTTACCCGTTGTTACTATTGTTGGGGACTATCACGATTATGGGGTCCAATTTAGCCCCAATAATAAACTGGGATAAAAATTTTAATTTAACGAATCAATTTAACTGCTACTGTCGTGCCGTTAACCAGTACCCGGTGTACTACGTACGTGGAATGTTGGACAGTGTAGATCGGGACTTCGATCGTGA